CTTGTTCTGTCCGCAGACAGGCCCTGACAAGGTTGTTAGAACAGTTGGGGAGGTCTCTACAATCACTTAATTACCAAAGCTGTCACTCAGGCGGGACGGGACTGGCCGCTCATGTGGCTGCGAGGAGCATTCCACTACTGGGTTTCCTCCTTGATGGATCTGTGCTGATGGCATTGCAAAATAATTATAGTGAATTTTCTGATGTGTGATTTTATACCACGTTCATGCTTCAGAAAGGTAATCGGAAGGATGAGAAGGGTCAGTGCCATTTCAGATTACCTGAAGTCCAAGCGAAAGGGTAAAAAAAAAAAAAAAAATAAAACGAACCCACGGAGCAGAGAGGAGGAGGGCTGCGAGGAAGGGGCATAGTGATGCGATTGAGAATTGCTGAAGGGTATTGCAAGCAATTCGTCAAACTGTGCAAGTGATTTCCTTCCGAGCCAACAAATGGCAGATTGATTTTGTCCAACGTAGGTTTAGCCACATTTAAAATGATCCAGCGGTTATTACTGCGATTGGCTTTGCAGCTGACAGGCAGTTGTAGGCAGAAGGAGAATAGATCCTGTTTACAGGAGACGTGTTCTTAACTGCTGTCAAATGCAGTTAAGTAAATATCATTAGGAAGAAGTGCTGTTAAGAGAGAAAAAAATGCCAATCCGATAAATATGCTTTTCCTCGTCTCAGATCCCTGCTCTTCTCGGGAAGGCTGTGCAGGGAGGAGCCGGCGCTTTCCAGGCCGGGGGGGCTGTTTCCTCGCAGCTTCAGCATTGGGGTGAGGGGGCACCATGGGNCTTGCGGGCCAGTGTCCGGCACGGGGACAGCTCTCACTCCCGGCCACCCTGCGGGCTGCCGCGGTCCCTTGCGTACAGACAGGCCTGCTACAGCCTCATGGGCTGCTTCCATGCTCAGCTCCCCAACAGCCACGTCTTTTCCAGCGGGTGCCGGTATTTCCCGCTGTTTGAGGCTGAGAGCGCCCGTTCCGTTCGTCTGGCAACAGATGAGCTTGGTTGTTTGTTCACAACCACTTCCAGGGCCGAGAGCAGGTCCTGGCCTAGGCAAGGGCAAAGGCTGGAGAGGGACCGAGACGGCGGTAACTCAGCAGCTCCGCACCAAGTCTGGGGCGGTCGCGACGAAAGGAGCTGTCCGGGCACGGAAAGGAGAGAAACCCGATGGCGGCGGCCGGGAAAGCGGCGCAGCCAACGGCGCCTAGTGCCCGGTCCCGGGCCGTGCCGCGCAGGACCGGGCGGCGGGAGGCAGCCCCGCATCCCGGCCGGGCGCCCAGCTCTTTGTCCTGCCGCAGCGCGCTGTAATGCGGGGCAGCGTGCCGGGGCTGTCAAAGAGGCAACGAAACCTGTTCCTACAGCCAGGCGACCCGGCCGAGCAATTTTAGAGCAGCCTGACTTTGGCTCGGCTCTATCACGGCGCGAACTGGGAGCGGGACAAATGAAGAACTTCCGTTTGCAGCCCTACCTCCCACACGGGGAAGAGTGAAAGAGAGCGATTCTTGCCCCAAACCCCTTCCAGTTTACACACACTTTTCAGTTGGGTCTGGAAATACGTTTCAGGGGAGGTAGCAGTCCCTCGCCCCCCTCCTCCGGCACCCCGGGTTTGGACACCGTCCTGCACGACACCGGCAGCCCCCAGCCCCGCCTCACTCTTCTCGCTCCTGTCTGCTGCCGTACCCAAAGCACCAAGAACTCCCTGCCCCGGTGGGCACCCCGCGGCAGGCCCTGCTCGTGAGGGGGCCACTCATCTATTTTGTATGAACTTTCCTTCCTTGTTCTCACTACTTTTCAGCGAGTTCATGCAGTCAAAACCTAGCCATCGAGAGCAACGAGCTGACATTTGCTTTTCCAGCTGCATTCCTCCTTTAAGAAAGATTTGTTGCTTAGACTGCGGAAAAGGCCCTGACGAGTCCAAATTTCCTACCTCCATCCCCAGGCCGCACAGGATGGGTTTCCCGGGAAAAGCTCGGCGGCGATGCGGGGCGGCCGGAGCGCTCGGGCCACGCAGGGTCCCACCTCCGGTCCGTTCCGGTGGGGGGGACCCGGGGGCCACGGCGAAGGCGCGGGGGAATTCTCAGCAGCCACCGCAACACGGGCGAAAACCGAAGTGGGCGTTCCCGACCCGCTCCCCTTTTGTTAGATCAAGGCAAAGGTCAATATGGTTTTAACGCGAATTTATTAGCACAGAAATCAGCAAGCCGCTCGCTAATTAGCAAAGCCCAAATAAACGTGCCCGGAGGCTTCTCTTTTCCTTTTTTCGGGATTTTTTTCCCTTCTATCTTAAAAGAAAGGGGACCCACGAGCAAAAATAGAGAGAAGGGAAAAAAAAAAAAACAACGAAGCGCCAAACCCTCAGAGGAGAGGATAATATGGGACTTTATGAATGTTTTATAGGTAATTGCTGTATAACTTTCTAATTTCGCAGGGGGGTGTTCACCTCCAGCGGCTGGGGACAGAGCCGTCCCCGGAGTCCAGAGGAGGGTCACAGCCCCCAG